TTATTTTTGTTCTGTTTTTAAGGTTTTTGCCATAGGGCATGTGCATGCTCACCATAGAGACTGAGAGAGACAGTGAGAGGAAAAGTAAGAAATCCCCTGGAGATGGTTGGCCATCTACAATCCCTTCTTCATTCTCCTCGGCCCCTGGAGATGGATGGCCATCTACAATCCCTTCTTCATTCTCCTCCTGGAATTTAGGGCATGCATGCATGTGCGCCCAGCCTGAGTTTCAAGCCACCAGGTTTTGGACTTGAACCGTGGTCAGCCATGTGGGAGTTCAGCACCTTAACCACCACACCCCATGTTGGCCTCTAACCAGCAGAAATACAATGCAGGTCAGATGAATTCAAAGTTTCTGATTTTCCCCCCTTTAACTGCTAGAGGGTGGATGTGCTCAGATAAGAAAAAATGCCCCCCCCAGTGGGGTGTGATCACACTACAATTCTTTTTCCTCCATTTCTCCATCCCACCAGGATTTGGGGATGCACACACATGTGCCTGGTATGTTTTCCATGCTGCCAAGCCTGGGACCCAAACCACAGTTAGAAATGTGGGGTCCCAGTGCACAGCGTTCAGCTACTACTCTGCCTGTCTGGCTCTATAATCTTAAAAGTTCTAGTAGCCACACAAAAGATGAAAAATAAACAGGTAAATCCAATTTCAATAATATTGACTATTTAATCTACTATGAGGGGACTTCAAAAAAATTCATGAAAAAAAAATTAAAGTACAAGGTTATTTTAGTAAAAAAATGTGAAATCCCTACAATTTTCCCGATATTCATTTTCCATGAAGAAGTCTTCCTTTTGAAGACTTCTCATGTATCAAAAGCATCATCATTTTAATATATAATCATAAAAAATTATTGATGAGATAGTTTACCTTTTTTTCATATTAAGTTTCTAAAATCTCTTTTGCATATTGCATCTCCAGCACACATCAGTCAAGACTAGTTACACTCCAGGCCTCAACGGCTGCACTCACTCCCTCTGCAGGCAGTACATCTAGTCGGAAACTGAACCTAGCCATGTGGACCTCTGGATAACTAATAACAGGCCACACTGTTGACATGGCTACCCCTTTGGGGCTACCTGGTAGTTTCTCTGCCAAGTGATTACCCTATGTTCCCAACTATCCCTGTCCTGGTTCCCCTTTCCGTTCTTCTTCTTCTTTTTTTTTTTTTTTAAGAATTATTTTATGGGACCAGCTGTTAGTGTAATGGCTATGTCCCTGGACTCCCATGTAGTCGACTGTGGTTCGAGTCCTGGACCCAGTGGCTTAAAAGTCACGCCAGGCACATGTGCATACGTGCCCAAGATCTCAAGAGAAGAATGGAGAAGGATTGCAGCGTGGCCATCCCCCCGGGGGGTGATTTCTCGCTTTCTGTCTCTCTGTCTGTCTCTTGTCTGTCTGGCGAGCGCACGTGCCCTATAGCAAAAACCTCTCAAAAAAATAAAGAAAGAAAGAATTATTTTATTATTTAACTTTATTTATCCATTTACTTATTTTAATTTGACCAGAGAGTGATAGTGAGAGAGAGAGCATGAGAAAGCAAGCCACTACGTCTGGGACTTGAACTGTGGTTGGCCATGTGGAAGTCTAGCGCTCTTAACCACCATGCCACCTACTGGTCCCGCCCCTTTCTGTTCTAATGTCATCAGGCCCTCAACTGCTGTCAAGGGTTTCCATTTCGCTCTTTCCTGATGGTAGTGCCAATCTCTGTATCGATAATACTTCTCTGTGAAACCTCATTTAGAAGAAAGACATCACAGACATGTTCTTCAGTACTCTTGTGCAGAAGTACAGATCCACCCATTAATTTAATGTAAGTTCTATATTTTTTTAATGTTACATTAAAGTACTCAACGTGGATGGCCGATGGGTAAGGCCCATCCATCTTCCATCACCCAGACCCTGTGTCTTGAAGGCTTCACATTATCCCAAGAAGGGGTATATTATAGCCAATATCAACAAGGGTTTTTCTGCCTCATGTTAAAAATCATCAACTGACAAAAGTAATTAAATTTCAAACATTTATCAATTATTATGATATACCTTGCACCCTCGCCACATAGCTGTGTCATACTGATTGAAACAACAGTGTGATAAGTTTGTTCCCATATCCTGCGCCTTTGCCTCTGATGTAAATTTTTCCTCACTACACAAATGTTGGAAGTCACTGGCTAAAAGCAGATATGCCTGCAGTGATCAGTGGTTTTCTCCCTGACAGTAATGCTCTCGTGTGCAAAAAAGATGATTCTAAAGCCAGGGCACATTTGTTACAGGGTCTAGGGTGGTTATTCTGACATGACAAGTCTTAAACATTTGCTAAATGTCCTGTCAACCACATAGTCTTTGAAAATCTCCAAGATGAAATTTATCAAGGCTATGCCAAAAGTCAAAGAATTTCCTCCTTCCCTATATCTTAAGTTTACAGAGACTACTGGGTTGTTGGGAAAGTTATGATGGATTTTTCATAGAAAAACACGTGATGGCCTTCCCAATGCCCTAAAGAACAAATACCAAGACTTATTTAAGAGCTACTAGGTTTCTTCCCTGTAGAAATAATCTGATAAGCATTACCAAAGGATACTTGTTGCAGGTCTTTCTACCAAGAGATTATCTTGTAAGGTTAAATGTAAGACAGAGAACTAGAAAAAGTCAATGAGCTTCATAAAAGAGACTATCATATTTCAATTTGTATGTGAATAGATTTTTGACAACTATTTCCACCTTGAATGATTCTCCTTCTAATAATCAATCAATTGCAATAGTGTGTCATACTGTAACTTTATAGATGTAACAACAAATTAAATGTAATTCATATGTACCATGTTGGCTTTACATCTAAATTCTATCAGTCCTTCTCTGTTGCTTAAAAATAGCAAAGGCAGGGCCAGCAGGTGACGTAGTGGTTAAGGCGTTAGACTACCACCTGGCTGACTGCAGTTCAAGTCTGGACCTGGCAGTTTGAAACTCACACTGGGCACATGTGCATGTATTCCCAAAATCCTGAGAGGAGAATGGAGAAGGGATGGTGGTGTGACCATTCCCCCTGGGGGGTAATTTCTTGCTTTCTGTCTCCCCATCTCTGTCTATCTCGCCAGCAAACGCAAGCATCCCTTAGCAAAAAGCTCTTAAAAAAAAAAAAAAAAAAAGGCAAAGACATATAAGTTAAAGAATAGAAAATTATTTTATTATTGTAAAAGAGGGGGAAAAAAAGACATACCTAAACTTTCCAATCATTGGACACATGTACTCCTTAAAGATGAATATGGAGGAGGTAGGAAAGGGAGTTATTTCTCTAGCTTCCTCAAACTTCACAGATGGAACTTAGCTTTCTGAAATCACTGTGCTGCCCTCTTATTCCCCACATCCAGAAACACAGTTCCTTTTGACTGGAATCCTTTCCTCCCATAACTGGATCACAGACTCTCACTCACCCTCCAAAACCCAAAGGAAACTTTGTGCTACAAACTCCAACAGTGAAGTCTTACCCCTCCCCATGCATCCATGACGCCTGCAAAGACTCCAGCAAGCGCCGTCCGCTGTGCTGTGCTTACCACCATGAATGTCTCTCCTACATACTCTAGGGTGTGACAGCAAGGGCCTTATGGGGGCCTTCACACTGCACTGCCTAACACAGTGTATAAGTGGGGAAAAGGGGATTCAAAAAACCATGGGAAATGCTTGTCAAGAAAAATATGCATGGATTTTTAAAATGTCTACACCAAAATAAACTCATTTTTTAAATGCATTTTTCCATAAATTTACTGACGTGCCCTTTATTCGAGTTTTTAAAGAAATAGTCCTAACTGGAGTTATGCAATACCTCCAAAATTCCACTTTACAATTATTTTGGGCCAACAGGTAGCATCATTGTTAAGGCACTGGATCTCACAGGGTCAATTCCATGGTTACAGATCCAGACCCAGTGGCTTGAGAAACACACTAGGCACGTGTGTGTATGTGCCCAAAATCCCAAGAGGATAATGAATGACAAGGAGTCTGTGACATGGCCATCTCCCCTACGGCACGATTTCTCACTTTGCCTCCTCTATCTCACTCTGGCAAGCACACACACCCTATGGTAAAAATCTAAAAAATATTTTAAAAAGAAAGAAAAATTGTTTTGTTATTGCAAAAGTACTAGAGGCCATTTTAAATGCTTTGTTTACTTGTACTCATTCAATGTTAAAAAAAAAATCAGGGAAAGCACAAGTTAATGGCATTATATGACTAAAATATAAGACAGTTATTATTTTCCTAATAAGTTTGTTTGTTTGTTTGTTTGTTTGTTCTGGAGAGGTTTTTGCTATAGGGCGCGTGCACTTGCCAGAAAGACAGAGACAGACAGAAAGACAGAAAGCGAGAAATCGCCCCATAGGGGGGGATGGACACACCGCAATCCCTTTTCCTTTCTCCTCTCTGAATCTTGGGCATGTATGCACACGTGCTCAGCTTGAGTTTAAGTCACCAGGCCTGGGACTCGAACCACAGTTGACTTCTTGGAAATCCAGCAACCTAGCCATTATGCCAATTGATGGTCCCCAATAAGTTTTTTCTTTTTTTAAAGAATTATTTAATTTTTTTTAAAATTATTTTAATTTGACCAGAGGGGGACAGAGTGAGGGAGAGAGAGAGAGAGAGAGAAAGTAAGCCGTAAGGTTCCGGTCTCAAACTGCAGTCAGCTATGTGGGAGTCCAGCCTTAACAACCACACTACCTGCCGGCCACCTTAGTAAGTTTTAAAAACAATGAAAACTTGGGTTAGTTATATGTTAACTAAATAAATCTTCTAACAACATGGGAAGTCCCATTCAGGTTAAATAAAAATTATTACTTTATCCATTTTTGTTTGTACTATTAAAATTTAACCTAAATGCCCACTGAAGATGTCTCATGGTGACAACTTACCCTGACATCAGTAGCATCTCCATGCCTGATGATACTGGCCCAGGTGGTTGGCTCACTGTTGCTTTCGAAATAATGAAAGACTTTTAATACTCGCTCCATTGCACCAGGGGATCGTTCCATACCAGTACTTAGGGGAACCTTCGTACTGGAATTTGGCGTGTGATTCAAGTTTGGATCAAGGTAAGCAGCTGCCATTTTTTTGCTAGATGCTAGGTATCTGTCATATTCTGTTAAGAAAAAAAAAGTAATTTTCAGTATGTAATATTTGAAATCTACCAATTACAATATGACATGCTGTCACCTATATTAATGACACTTTCTGTATTTTCTTCTTTCCATAATGCTATATGCGAAAAGTGCTTGAGGAGAACAGGGACCTAGTCAACCAGAACAGTCACTGCCCTCCCAGCCTGAGAGCAGTGCTTGATCTAAAGCGGCACAGTAAATACTCACTAATAAGCAAGGTATTAAGAAGCCAAGTCCTAACTTCTTCTGTGTCAAAAGTGCAATGTTATCTACAAACAATGACACGTAGCCTCTCCCCTCCCATTAACCACAGCCTTTAAATGTATGGGAAAATCTCACAGCAAAGCCAAATATGTTAATTTGCTGCCTATTTCTGAAAACATTCACCCAAGGAAAGTCCCTTCTTCACAGAGTAACACTATGATGGCTAACCATCATACGTACAAGGCACTATAGTTTAAAACCCTGTTAATAAAACAAGATGCTCCTGCTTAGGTCCTTTTTAACAGGAGAATCAGACACAGAACAAGTGAAGCACATACATGCTAGAAAGCACAAACAGCTATATTTTTAAAGAGCGACAGAGAACTTGCATATGAGCATGGGGGGACAGTTTGGGAAAACCTAAAATCCCCACTGAAGAAAGTCAGGAAATCCAGATTAAAAACAGACAGACAAAAAACCCATTATGTTTGAAAGTCTCAAGATAGAGACATTCTGAGGCACCCAAGACACCACCAGTGACCCAGGTGGAGAAAAGGTCATTTGCTGCTGCTGGGCCTGTGGAGTCTGAAGAGCTAAGAAAAGGCCACTACTAAAACAGAGAAACCCGCAGGGCTTTTGGTGGGAGACCAAATCATGACTGTGGAGGGCCCAGAATTCATGTGCGAAGGAAGGGGAGTCAGGTGCTCTGCTGCTGTCACAAGACAGTCCCTGATTCTGACTCTGAGCTGAGTGACAGCACAGCAGAAAGCGTGGGGACAGACAGAGGGAGTGGAAGAGCTCTTGACGGTCCCAGCCTGCAGCAAGACCAGCTGGGCACAGAGGCAGAGGGAGCCTTGAACATCGGGGCCACAGGCTCTGCACAGGTCCTTCAAGGACTGGACTCAGTGGCTCCACCCTATCTGTCCAGCAAGAAAAGGGTCAGTTCTCCGCAGAGAAACATAGTATCAATCAAAGTAAAATTAGCACTTTTCACCTATAGTATATTCCATTTAATAAAAACAAAATGAACTGATATAACAGTAAAGCAAAAGGGCGTGGGGGTCAACCATAAACCAAGTCAGAAGATAGTAAAAAAAGGAAGAGAAAAATACATGTGCCACACATCACAGAAGAAAGCTAATACTCTTCAAATTCACAGCAACTCTTGGATGTTCAAGAGAACTGAAAATGTCCATATAATAAGTTGCACGTGAATGTTCATGGTAGCACTGTTCATAATAGCCAAAAGGTGAAATAACCCAAATGTCCATCAAGGAATAAATGAATGGACAAAATGTGATACACCTAAAAATGAAATACCATTCAGCAGAAAAACAAAGGAAGCATTGCTACATACTACACACAGATAAGCCTTGAAAACATTACACTAAGTCGAAGAAGCCAGACTTAAAAGGCCACAAGTGATCATGATTTCACTTAAATGCTGACTCTGGAACATACTCGTGTACAACGGTAAGAAGCAGCGCGCTGGCTGCGGGGCTGGGCGGGCAGAGTGGGCAAGACCGCCCGCAAGCAATGGGGACGCTAGATAGAGTAAGAGTGGCAGCGGCTGCACAACATGCGGGCACGGGAGACTCAGCTGCACACCTTGTGGAGGTTAAAGGGGTGAATTTTATGTTTAAAGTATCAACAAATAACTGATGAATGATTTCTGAAAGAAGACATAACAGCACCCCTACCTGTTGACAAGGGCGGGAGAAAAAGTACTCTTCATTCATTGCCAGTGAGAATGCAAACCAGCACACACTCTGTGGTGAGTCTGGCAACACCTAACGTGCCTTTACCTACTGACTCAGCAGTCCCACCCCTGGACCTCTACAGAGGTACACTGTTAGGCAAAGATGAACGTGTCTATGGTTACCCTGCTCCCCACTGTAATGGCACTGAGAGCTGGGGGTCCCTGGGAGGTAGTAAGGAGTAGACGAAGCCATCAGGGTGGGGGTCTCTTGGATGAGATACATGTCCTTGTAAGAGTCACAGAGGGTTTGCTCCTGCCCTGGGCTCTCTAGCATGTGAGGGGCAAGTCAGCAGACTGCAAAGGAGAACTCCACCCTGCTGGAGCCCTCATTCAGTCTCCGAGCTGAGAGAAATAAATATGGTGCATAAGCCACCCACAGAATCTGTTCTGTTACTGCAGCCTGAACTAATACACGTAGGTTGTCAGAAGTCATGACATATTTTGCTATGCAAAATGCACCAACAAGCCAACAATAACTGACACCATACAGAACACGTGAACTGCGCAGTTAGCAAATTTATCCAGCTGACATGGAAACCAACACTACTCCCAGAGGAAAGCATGTAAGGGCCGCTGTCACCTCAATACATTCAGTAAAAGCATAGGAGAAAGTTTTTCGACCACGTATGATTAAACTCCTAACAAACTAAAATAGGAAGAAATTCCTTAATCAGATAAAGAGTATTTAACTGAAACTTAATAAGTATCAATGGGGAAAAAACTCTCCCTCTCAAGACTGGAGATGAGGCATGAATGACCACCATCACCACTTCCATACGACCCTGTTCCAGAAGTCACTGCCAAAGGCCAGAGACAAAAGCAGGAAGCAAAATATAAGAGCTAAGAAGGGAAAAATGAAACAATCATTATGCAGACAACATGATTAGCATGAAGAAAATCTAACAGAGCCTGCACATGAGCATTAGAATTAATAAATGAACTTAGCAAGGCTGACAGATAATCAAACCAACCAACTATATTTCCGATCATTTTAACTGCATCTCTCTTTTTTTTTTTTTGGAGAGGTTTTTTGCTATAGGGCGCGTGCACTCGCCAGACAGAGAGAGACAGAGAGACAGAAAGCGAGAAATCACCCCAGAGGGGATGGTCACGCCGCAATCCCTCCTCCTCCATTCTCCTCTCGGGATCTTGGGCACGCACGCACACGTGCCCGGTGTGAGTTTTAAGCCACCGGGTCCGGGATGTGAACCGCGGTCGACTACGGTCAACTACGTGGGAGTCCAGCGACACAGTCATTACGCTAACTGCTGGTTCCCACTGCATCTCTTTTTTTACTGCCAGAGGGTATATGCATTCACTGGAAAGAGAAGGAAAGAGAATCTCAGTAGGGTGTGGTCACAGTACAATTCTTTTTCCTCCACTTCTCTATCCTATCAGGATTCTGAGCAACCGTGGCACATGCATACATATCACGCATACACACACATGTGTGTGCATACATGTGTGTGTACACACATGCATACATATGCGCACGTGCACACACACAGACACAGACTCCTTCAAGACACCTGGGCAAAGAATCGAACCATGATTTACCTACCGCATGGGATCCAGCTTTCCATACTCAGCATTTAACCATTGAACTAGGGTCAGTGACTTTTTTTTAATATAGCTATCTCTTTTGCACCCTGACGAGTAAAAACAACTAAATAAAGCTTAGTATAAAATGCTTCCTGAAGGAAACCAAACCAAAAAAATCCCCAAACAAACAAAAAAATATACTGCCTCTCAAAAGAGGTCAGAAGAACTGACAAGAGCAATGAAAAAACACCCGTTATTAAGACTGAGTACATCAGGGGATAAGCTAAACCAAAACTGTGACACAGTCCAAATATACCTCTGTGGCCCAAATATCAACAGTAAGATCCTTCCTAAGTCTTCAGAAAGTAGGCCAGAACAGTTTTTCCAAGATAAACCTTTGTTACAACCTCTGTTCCCAGACAGAATGGCTCTCTGCGATTCTACAGTTTAATGTATTATCTGCTTGTCAAAACCTCCTTTTTACTACCATTCTTCCAACAGTCAACATTTCTGCCATCAAGCCACCCTCTACACCCTCCAGGCAATTCCACGACTGATTGTATTAACAACCCAAGTCTCCCTGCTGTGACATTTGTCCTCCTGCTGGTCTGGAGGAGTCTAAGATCCTGGCACCTGTATGCCTCCTTGGGACAGCCATGTTTCATTCATGTCAGTGCAAGAAGTGGCCTCAAGGAGAGAACAAGTCCTGAGAGATGCTCTCCGCTGTGCTGATTATTCTGTTTCTAGCTATTATCAGACGTCTGCTTGGTTTGGTTTGTATTGCTCCATATGTGCCTCCAACCCATGGCTACAGCTGAACAACCAGGCTGCGTCTAAATAAAGCAGCCATTCACCCTTCTCACCGTAGAAAGGACATCCTCGCCAAGGCCTGGTTTGTTATTACAGCCCTTCTGCATCTGTGGCCAATTATAAAGTGGGGGTCGGAGGGGGGGGTCTTCAACAAGTTCATGGAAAATGTATATTATGAGAAAGTTGTACATGAATTTCAGTTTTTTTTTTTAATATCAAAATTAATTTGAGTTTTAATTCTTTTTCCCATGAACTTTTGAAGAACCCTTGCTGGTTTGGTTTTTTGGTTTTTGGGTTTTTTTTTTCAGCTTGCTGTAGGGTACGTGTACTTATATCAGAGAGAGATAGTAAGTGAGAGAGAGAGACTGAGAGGGAAAGTGAGAAATCATCCTCTCCTCCCCCTAGGGAGGGCCATACAAGCCCTTTGCTTTCATTCTCCTCTTGGGATTTTGGGCACACATACACACACATGCCCAGTGTTTTTTCTTTTCAAGCTACCAGTACAGAAAGCAAGCACTACAGACGGTCTGAGGGATCCAGCCGCCTTACCTCCATGCCACCTGCTGGCCTGTGTGTGTGTGTGTGTGTGTGTGTGTGTGTATAAAAGAACTTTTCAAAATTAACTAGTCACAGGGATATACTACTTTTGCATACTACAGAATATCT